TTTTTCCTCTCTGCATAATCTCTCTAAAGGCTAAAGAACAACTCAGGAAAATACCTTTTCTGGAGGTATAGATTTTTGTTTCAAACTGCATTGCTGAGTTTTATCCACTGTGCAGCACTGTTACAACAAACTGAAAATGTGAGAGGTAATTCAGTAAGGTCCTTGAATGCAGAAGACTTGCATTCATTTATACTCGCCATGAATTTCAGACAATCTATGGTGTCATTGCGAATCAGAAGATATACCAAATCCCTAAGCTTACATAAATTTCACCCTGTCATGCCTTTTAAAAGCCTCCTTTCACTATGAAACAGGCTATTAATCCTCTTTTTTTTTTTTTTTTTTTCCTGCACTTCAGAAAAGGGACTCAACACTACTGAAACAGTTGATAAACACTTCCCTGTAACATGCACATACACAGGAGCTGGTTTCTCTATTATTCCTTTCTTGGACAGAGTGAAATGCCCTATGAGTTATATTGGCATTATCATTGTGAAAATGGGCTTATTGGCTTCTTAGCTGGATTAGCAAGAATGACTTACTTTATATTAGTACCAAGTAGTAAGTAATTTATGAACTTCTCTTATTGGAATGCACTCCCATCAAAGAGCTCAGCAAACAGCATTAATTTTCACAGAAAACAGGGGACCCTGCAACAAAATTATGTTTTCAAACATAGCTTGTTTAGCACTTGTAGAAGGGCTAATGAACTTTGGATTCTCTATATTTAATATCTATACATATCCCGAAAGTAGCATCACTACTCAGTTAAAATTGTTCCATGTTTTGCAAGCTAAAGACCGGAAGAAGTGCTTTAAATTATTATTATTTTTTTTTTATGAATACATAAATACATTTTTCCTAGGGGAAAAAAAAAAAATCTATTTAATCTTACCAATAATAGTCAATGCCAAACAAAATATTAAATTGTCTCTGTGAATAACACCTTTAAATCTGGTGTCAAATACAAATTTAGATTTTTCTTTAAAATGTATATTAGCATTGAAGTATTTCAGGTGCCAAAGAATTGTAATTATAAATCCTAAATTCCTCCTTTTTTTTTTTTTTAATATTAGCCTTAACTGTAAACTCAGATTGCTAGACAGTTTAATAGAGTTGTAATCTGCAGGGCTTTCTTCATCATTTTTCATTTGACAGTTCTTTTATAAGGGTCATAAAGGCAATGGTCTGTAAAATCTATTTCAGGTTTTCCTGTTCAGTTGTACTAATCCTGGTATCTTTTTCTTTTCTTTAAGAGGCTGATGTCTTTCTTTTTTCAATTAGAATTCTCTGAATGATTCTTCATGATGTGGAAAGTCTTCGTCTCTTGAAGGAACCCAATTCAGTTAACCTAAAGTGACCTCAATTTTGTACACAATAGAAATAATTTGTTTTCTTTACCTCTACCTTTTAGCACAGTCATGCTTAGATGATCTTTTCTGGTAACCTCAGTAGGAACTTAAAAAGAGGATTTAGGTAAAACATTATTAGAACAGAAAAGCTAATTGAAATTTCAATAAAAAAAAATAATTGCCACAGCCTACTACAATAAAGAGGTCAAATCATCCACTTACGCTCATAGTGTACATTGTCAAAAATACACCAATGCAAAACAAAAACAAACAAACAAAAAAAAACAATAATGGAACCATTGATCTTGCATTCATTTGCAATTGGGAAGAGGGTAAAACAAAACTTTTATAAACCTTTTCTCATCACAGCACAGTGAGCATACACAGAGGAACAGAAAGTGTCCAGCTGTACGCTATCAGATTTACACTACTTCGCGATATTTTATAGAAGCTTGTGCTTATATAGACATGGGCTATTCTGGAATGCTTCTGATCATGCCTTTCTGTCAGATAAGCAAGAAATGCTCTGCAATATGCCCTGGAAGTTTTCCTTGTATTCTCATAGGTTTAAAACACAGTGTAACGGGTTTTATCTTCCAGTTGTGCTTTCCCCCATTAAAATACACATGTTCACTAAGGAGAGAATCTTCACACTAATTATTGTCCTTCCTAGAGCAAACTAGTATTCTACCCTTGACGTACTCAGGTCTTTGCCATCCAGGCGACTGCTGTTGTCAGGATTTTGACAGACATCAGCTAATGGCCTACTTCTATTAGAAGAGGAATGTATAACATCAATGTCATATTTTCTATAACTAGAACTATTATCTTCTCATTCTGTACTAATAATAGAGTCCTACCATTCATGCTTGTTTAATTTACCATGATACGTGAAGGAACAACTGTGTAAGCAGTAATTTGGAAAAGGAATGGAAATTCACCTGGATCTTTTATTAAATCTCATCAAATGTAACGATTGTGGCTACATTTCTTATGAAAAACATTAAGGACTTTTCTACTCAATTTTGATAACTTGATAGAACTACAAGAACAGAGATGTTAAGCCTTGATAGAACTACAAGAACAGAGATGTTAAGCCTACTTATTTCGAGAGTCACTACACATGTGCAATATAGAAAATTACACATGGTCCCTAAAGAAAATAGAAAAGATCATGAGTCAGAGAGATGAATCATCTTAGTATTTAAGAAGAGGTATACTTAGAGTCAATACTTACCCTAAGCCTAAATTCACACTACAGGTAAGGAAACAAAATGAGAAAAAGAAATAGATTTCCAATCCCTTCCTATTAGAAACGTAACCATTTTTTGCAAGTATCTCTGCCAGTTCAATGGAACATGAGCATAATACACCATAGATAATGCACCATCAAGTGCAATCAATGGTATTTGCTGACAAGAACATTTTAATTATGCATTACAGAAATGTAGTTAATTTTGGAGGATCTTTGTACTTGTAGCCTCAATTCATAATTATTTCAAGAGTTCCATATGTCACAGCTTGATCAATTGAAGGGCAAGGAAGCACTGATGTATACATTACAGTGATACAATATCTGTAATAAAAATGCAGCACACAGCAATCTTCCTCACCACCACTCGCAATACAGTTTAATCTGTCTTATTAACACTCACCCTATGTACCCAGTGATAAAGGCAGGCCTAGCCATTATTCCTTTGCAAGAACTAGCCAACTATAATGACCAAGACATAAAACCATAATTTGTCTAAAAGTGTCAATAGACTCCAAAAACTGTGCACTGAAATAATTTCCTCATTAGCACGAGACTGGTTTTCACACGGAGATCCTGCAGTCAGCAACATTTTCTACAGCCACATAGAATAGAGTCTTTCCACCTTGATCCTATTAACTCCCAGTTGCCAAACTAGTGTCACGCACAGCAAAGCTAAGCTCTGGCTACATAATTTTCAGGACCTTCCACGGCAAAGAGAAAAACCATCATTGCTCAGAACACTTCTGTCTGCACATTTAGCACCAAGGGGCTGATGCAGGAGAGGTAATGTGCCACCTAAACTGCCTTTCACCAGAGCTATGAAGCACAAATAAGCTTGCCAGCTTGAATCTGAGTCGGCAGCAGCACAGCCACAGCTGAAAGCAAGCTGATAAAGAAAGGTCAAATGTGATGGGAAGATCAAGAAGGTGTCAGTTTAGGGGTGGTGTTTAGCAATACTGCCTGTAAATGGGAACCAATGAGGTGGCCTGAGGACAGTCCTTAGGAGACAGAGGAAGAAGAACAAGACTCAGATCTCTAATGCAAATGGAAAGTAAACAAAAGCTAAAAAGAAGCGCTTCTTTGATTCTACAAACAGAAAGGAAGCTAGCAGGGTACACAATACCAGTCTAGATAAAAGAGAAGAAGATGACAGATCATAGGATTTGAGAGAAAAACTAAAGATATGAAGCCTGAGAAACGTTCTCAGCATTGTACCATTTTCATGACAATTTTTCAGAGAAAAAACTAAGCCAATTTAAAAGAAAATTAAAATAATAATAATTATAAGGTACTATAGCTTTTTCTTTTCAAGTTCTTTCCAACTGCTGAAATAAATTACTGTTTATACAGTGGAAAAAAAAAAAAAAAAAAAAAAAAACCCAAAACAGTATGTCTACATAGCCCTTCCCCCCTCTCTGTCACAACCAATTTGACATGGGATTGGATATCATACATCATATCCCTGATATTGTATGGCAGTTTATTGCAAATATGTGGCTTGTGTAATCCTGTAACTCACTAACACAGCTGATGGAAACTTCATTGCCTTGCACTGGAATCAGGATTTTGCATTCTATTCTCGGTCAGAGTTGTAAGAGAGGGGCTATTGTCTTATGCCTTCTCTCAAAGCTCAGTGGTTCTTGAACTGTTTGGTCCAAATTGGGATTTTCCAAAAAAGAAGTCATATTCCTTATAGAATAGATGAACAACTTAGGATATTCTCACAGAAGACTGAGGATGTACACTTGAAATCTCTCTGAAAAGGAAGGTATGAAATTTCTCTCCCCTATATTCTGGGCAAGTAGTGTTCTAACTGCCAAATCACTGTGGAAGAAACAAGCTGAAAGAGGTTTGAAAGAAATCACTCAAGAAAAATAAAAACAGCTTGTAAATCTTGAGTGAAGAGTAATTAAAGCCTCAAATAAAGTGGACAGACTTCACAGGAGAGAAGAATTTAAGACGTATCCGTGCTGTCTGTGCTTTTCAGCTCCTTCATAACGAGGCAACAGTTAATTGAAATTGTATACAATATGAAGCCCTTTTCAACCAACAAACATGATTTTACATAGTATCTTACACTGTTATGTAACATCAACATAAGAATCCAGTCAAATAAAGCAGAAGTAAAATCCATATTATTTTCTAAACTGACTCTACAGAGAGTTAGAAATTGCATTGCATTCAGATAGTCTACTAGATCTAAGAGTTCCCTCCTTTTGACTTTACACCTGAAAGAGCAAAAATGGATAGTGAAATTTTGTAAATATTTGCAAAGTAACAGAAGCATTGCTCTCTTTTTTCATTAGGAACACTAATGAAAATTAACAGTTCCAGTTGTTTTGAGAGTCTGTTTTTAGAACTACTGACACAGAGGAGAGAAAGAAACTACATACCGAAAGTAAAATGATAAAGTCCAGTATGTATTGTGAGACAGGATGGTGGTTCTTTACCTCAAAAAAAAAAAAAAAAAAAAAAATTATTTCACCCTTGTCATGGACCCTTTTACCTTCTGTCCTTTCATTCACCTGACATTTTGAAATGGAAGATCTATAGCAGAAGCTAAAATAAAATGTATGGCTATTTGAATCAGGTGAACTTTTGTCCTATAACCAACTTGGGTAGGTAGGAATTAACTTTGCATATTGCATTCAGAAGACGCCTCATAGAAAGTAATGTCAAATTTAAAAGCTCTTGCACTTTCCAGTAAAAAAATTATGTATTAATACTTAACCTGATGATTATGCTCTCGGACAGTTACAGAAAAAGACTACTATTATTTTTAGCTAAAGATAAGATAGCAAATATCATTCCTACTGAAAAGATGGAATAAGTTACATCACTGTATAAATGGTGAGTAATGACTGAGTCTCAGCAAGCTTTATTATTATTCTTAACGTTGAGATGGACATTTTTTTTGCAAACCAGTCTGATTTGGATACCAGAATGCAACCATTGTTAAAAAAATATGAAACTTATTAAATATATAAGAATATATATATTCTGCTCCAATATACTCCCTAAGAAACATCCTTTACCACTGCAGAAATAAAACAAATTTGAAGATATAAAAGAACACTCCACCTTCCAGATCTGATCTTGAGCAATTTATTCAATTCTATCTTCGAGAAGATGACCTCAAGAGAGTCTATTACTAAAAAGACATTGGGTAGGAAGAAATATATGCAGGAAAGAGGGCACAGTGTAAATGTTTTAGTGCAAACACAAGAGAGGTAGTTCTGACCAAATTTGTTTTATGAACATATACCTGTATTTATTAAATATATATGTTATATATATGTAAATGTACGATCAAGTTTACTTAAAGTTAACTGGAAAACTGCCACTTAAGAACAACAAAGGAAAACAAGTTGAGAGAAAAATGTTTCCTTCCTTTTTCCTTCCTCATGCAAATATTTTTTTTTCTTATTGTCATAGTCACACAAAAGAATGAAGGCTTACTCATGATTTGCTATTGACTGACAGGTTTGCAGTTATGCATGGGGAGAAAAGGTTCCACTCATTCTTCTTTTCTGCTTTCTCCCATCCCCCCAGCTTCTTCTTTTAAATTTACTGTCACTAAACACAGGTTGCTTTCAAACCTTCTCACTCTGTGATTCCTTGAAAAATCACTGTGAGAAAAAAAGGAACAGCATCCAATCATCCCCTACTAAATCAAGGTGAAATTCCGTACCTCAGGCTGCAAGAATATCAAAAGTTCATATCTATTTCTTGTGCTTTTCTCGCCTATCACTTTCAGCTTTGTCCCTTTGGCTTTGTCACTCTGCTGTTTCTTTTTCATATTCTGTCTTCATTTGTTTCCTTTGCCCTACTCTTAGGGTGGCTCAGGCTCTTGCTCCTCCTTTGAAAGACTCCTAGGTTTCCTTCTTTCAGAAGTTACTCCAAATAGCCACTTCCTGAAGAAAAACCTGTTTTCTCTATAATTTGATACTGATTTTTGTCTGTACACATAGAAAGCTGCAGACATCTGCATTTTTCAAAGTAATTTTTTCTCTCTTATAAGAAGCATCTCAAATTAGATACCTTTATTTGTGGTTCATTTATTACTGATCTGCTCACATTTAAACTAATTATCTAGAATTTGTTAATTCAATGTGCTACGATATCTAAAGTATTTGTTACAGTTGGTGTTACAGCTGGAAAGATTATCACGGTGAAAATGGGAAAAGAAATAAGCAGAGGAGAAATGCTCACCTGTATCTGAAATCCAGATTCACAGGAAAGACTCCACAGAGGAAGGATCTCCAGAAAGACACCCTTACCCAGTGGCAGTCAGCCCTTAAATGGGGTCTAGGAAAGGTAGAGCCAGGCTCCATCCCATCCAGTCACACAGCTGAATTGCCTTCACCTGTGCTCCCATGGCTGACACAGTCCTTTCTCAGATGATCAATCAGTGGTTCAGGCCATGACTCAACAGTTCCTGTACAGTATTTAAAACAAAAATGTATTTAAAATTGGTTAGTTAGCAGGCAAAATAAAAATTTCTCAATTTAGACCTTGTCTTTGCTCTATGCAAGTAGGCAGCAGTAACCATCAAACCGTACTGAGCAGTAGTGAGTGAAAAGCACACTGCTTCAGACTGTACAGAGAAACTTTTGCATTCACTGTTCAGAGTTTTTTCAAGTAAAAGAAATCAATATAACTGGCCAAAAGCTTTAGATTAAACAGAAGTAAATAAATGCACTGTGCATTTCCATATGTGCATATATACATATGCATATATACAAGATTACATGCTAGGAGGTATCCACGTATATTAATTGTTCAGCTGCAACTTCATAAATGTACAGAAGCAGCAGAGGCTGTGATAGTTAGGCTTGATTTTCAAAGTTAATCCAGCAAACTGGATTGGTGGGTAGAGAAGATGCTTGCTCATTTCTGAAAAGTCTATTTGAGAACTGCGGAAAATAGTTAAGAGTTTTACATTAAAAAAATTAGTTGATGGCACATAATTTTCAGACACTAACACTTTGACAAATAACAGGAAAATATTTTTAAATAATAATGAGAAACTTCAAAATGCAGACAATTTTCACAATGAAGTACATTTAATAAGTTCAAAAATAAGAGCAGATCTAAAAATATTCTAATATAAAGTGAAAATTTTAAAATCCCAAAATAAACAACTATTTTGTCAAAGCACCTCAAATTATTAAAATAAAATGTTTTAGGGCTTCCTCTTTGTGACTTATTCATAAAAATGATGTCTTTTCCTTTTGCAAAAGGATTTTTCCTCTTTTACAAAGCTCCTATGTCTTGCCATTCACTGGGATATTACTTCTACAGGGCAATGGAGAAGAACAACAAATCACCTCCAAAATGTATCAAATCCAAAACTCAGAATTCTGTTGCTGACTGCCTTGGTGCCATATAGCCCTAGGAGCATGAAGGCCCGATTATCTGCATCTTTGCCTTCCCTTACCTCCCATTTTCCATGTCTGTTTATCTAAGAAATATAAACACCATGCAAAACATGTTAGCTAAATACTGTAATATTTTGTAAATGTTATCCAATAATACATGCACACACAATCTTAAAATAAGCAGGATGCTATGGCTGCACCAAGTTAGCATACTCCAATTGGCACTAGCAGTTTCATAAGCAAGAATGACCTTCAGGGAGACTGAGCAAGTCCCAGTGAAAAACATAAAACACATTCCAGAGCATGTCATCAGCTACAGATCTCATTGTAACATCTTTTCGTATGTGAAGTTGCTTCAACATTCTGTGTGAAATATAATTTAGGTATCTATTGATAAATAGATATTACAGAGTTTGGATGGAGCATTTTAATTGGAACACTTTCTTTTTTTTTTTTTTTTTTTTTTTTTAAATCAGCCCTGTCAGAGACAAATTGGTAATAATGGCAATGTGTCACTGCATTACTTGTCTGCACATAAATTGAATATAAACTTAAACATTTTCAAAGTGATGTGGTTCCAAGCAATAGGAAGCTTCTTTTAGCTGCCCTCTGCCACCTGCTAGCCTCACTGATGACCACTTTGATATGTTTCAGAAGAAGCTGTGTCTACCCTGAGGCATAAGGGTGCTTTTGAACCATCAAGCCTTGCTGAAGTCCGTACATACATATCCAGACAAAAACATCGGTATATTAGTGATTGCTGTATTAAAAGCAGATGTTCTATGCACCATGTGACATACCTAAAACCTCCAGTTAACAGTGAGTAAAATATTTAACAACCGCTGACTTGATCTGATGCACCAATAGCACAATAAGTTTTGGATTCCTATTGGTGCCAGATATTCTTTTAAAACAACTAAGTTAAATTCACTGTAAATTCACGTGGCAGAGGCATGTTGATTATCATGCCCCTCTTGTCTGCTTCTGTTACCAATTTATAATCTGCTACTGATACCCTGATATGCTCCAGCTTTCATAAATATCCATAGACCTTCCTTTACACCACCTGTTAGGGTGTAATACTGCTGGATTCTTATGACTGTAACAGCTGTTTACTCATTTTTTAATCTTATTATACTGGGTAAAGAGAGGAACTTGTAATCAGAATTATAGTCACTTACTTTTGAAAGAAAAAAAAAGAGTGAGAAGCTGTATGCCAGCTTGACAAGAAACTCAAGATAGCTTGTGTTTTTTGTATTTCAAGTCTTTACCTCAGTTTAGCTATAACTACATAAGTGCCCCTTCCTTGACAATGTGAAATTTTGAAGAGTATTTAACATTTTTCACAAAATGTTTGTGTACCACCTCTTTGCTCTTCACATTTTCCTAAATTTATTTTCTCACTTTGTTTGTATTTTAGTCTTACTACCTCTGTACCTTAATCTTCTTAGATTTTAAATCCATATAAAGATTTTGTTATGTTTTGTATGTATTTCTTAAGAAATGTGACTTTTGATGCTATCTACTTGTTAGAACAAGAAGTACATTAAAAATATATTAAGTAATAAAGCATGAGGAGACAGAAAGCAGAGAAAAATTAAAAAAAAAAAAAAAAAAATTACTGGAAACTATTTCCAGAAAAGCATGGTTGCCTGAAAATGGAAATGGTCATTTTATAAAAGGAAGTTTTCATTTCCATCATCACCTTGAATTCTAACATTTGAGCCTGTTTCAAGTTTGTCATTTCTCAAGGACACTGTTTATATATATAGTATAAGTGGTCAATAGATTTTCTTCCTGTATCAAACCATCATAAATTCATAACAAACACAACTATCAGCTAAATTACTAATAGGGATTTCAGTCTCTGCTACTGCTTATGACACATTCCACACTGCCAATATTCTTCACAATAAATTGACTGATGCACTGCAACTCTTCACACACAAACCTCTTTGACAAAATGGAAATACATTTCATGAAACATTTGCAATTCACATGCATTTTTACAGACTTCCCACTGATAACTGACTGTGGAAGCAACAACAGTACACACCAAGAAGGCTGAAGGACAGTGAATGACAGCTTCACTTTGCCATGATTCAGCTTGCTCAACTTTGAAATTTGCATAAATTCTGAGCAGGCAGAGGCCTAAACATTAATGACATTAACTATGCTGAAAACTGTTTCATCTTATACATCAGCTCCAAGCAGTCAAACTAGCTTTACATTTTGTAAGTATTGAAAATTTAAGCATAAGCCAAAGATTATAATTAGCCCATATAACAAGGAAGCATCTCCAGAGATAAGCGACAGCTGCTCCTTAGCCAGAACTTTCTTCAATTTTTCTTTCTCAATGACAAGAGATGAAGCATTTCTTAGACACTGAACAAGCATTTTCCTTGAGTTAAAACAGTACTCACATTTATGACTACTACCAATATTGAACCCACTACTGAACTAACCTATTAAGTACAAGTTCTTAAAAAATGGTTACATATGTAGACCTTGTACCATATCTACATATGACATGATAATACAGAAGATAAAAATTAAAAGATATATGAAAAATGAATATATATTGTTTTAACTTTTATTTCTCTTACCAAACTACGTATTTTTCTTGTTTGTTTATTTTGTCACTAAACATGCTATCGTGTATTAAACATAACATCTAAAGCTGCAAGAGCTTTTATTTCTCTTTTTTGGCAAAATCCCAGATCATGCCCTCTAAGTGAAAGAAGCCTTTCACTGTTGTAGTTTTTGCATTCATTCCTATCCATCTCACTGGCCTGCTTCCTTCTCTGAAAAAATATAGCCTCTGAATCCAGGCAAAAAGCATTTGCTTTTAATGCAGCACTGAAGCTAAACAGGCAGCAATGTCAGTAGGTATGAGCAATGCCCTTTTTCATCAAGATGGAATGTAGCAGAAAACTTGAGCCAACATAAAAATCAGACATGAAATATATTACAGAATGCCACATAAGTTTTGTTATGTTAAGGTTTTTGATTTTATGTACTGCTTACTCATTATTTCTGGTATGTTTTTAAGTACATCAGACTAACTCAATCAAGAATGGTTCCAGCTTATTGAAAAGACAACCATAAAAATTCATTAAGAAATAAATTGGGATAACTATGTGTAGTATCTCCAAGATTCATTAGGATGATGAGATGTTAAAAATATAAAGACAATCCTTTAAAGTGAAATACCTAGCACTAGTCCATATCTCTGCAGTTACTGGCTACTAAAATATTTCCTTACAGTTACCTCCAGCTTGCAAACATACACCACAGGCAAGGACTGACAATCCTTATTTTCAACAGTACACTAAATCCAGCCATAATCTGAATATCATTACCACAAATAGGTCTAATGGATGGGGAGATCTTGTGAGAGGAAAATCTGAATAGACAAACTTCCAAGTGCTTTCAAGAAGATTTAATTAATTTGAATCTAGCTGATCTGATCTGATCTTTACCTTCAAAGGGCCCTTGGAGTAATCACCTCTGGCATGTAGATCTACCCCATATTTTTAAGTGCTTTTTTTAGGACTGAAGATGTTAGATGATGTAGGACGGCAGTCAGACTATGCTGATAGAAGTGTTTTCATCAGCTTGAGTAACATAGCTCTAAATGATGTGGACCAATTTTGACAGTAGTTATGCTAAGTTATGCTAACAGGAATCATAGAATTATAGAACCCTTAGAGTTGGAAGGGACTTTTAAAGGTCATCTAGACCAACTCCCCTGCAATGAACAGGCACATCCACAGCTCAGTCAGGTTGCTCAGAGCCCCATCCAGCCTGGCCTTGAAAGTCTGCAAGGATGGGGCTTCCACCACATTTCTGGGCAACTGGTGTCAGTACCTCACCACCTCCTAACCTATTCTACAATAAACTGGAAATAAAATATACCAGAGTATGATAGCTGTTTCTACTTCTG